GTGTCTTCAGCTTCCCGCCAGCAAATGAGTCCACCCTCACTCTACAGAAAAATAGGAAAAAGTGAAGTTTGCACGGAAAAAAACAAATGCCGATTGGAGTCTATCTCAGAGGTAAGGCGTGTTCAACTTATCTCGATGTCTGTCAGCGGGTCTACATGAAACCCGGCAAAAATTTGCAGTCCTATAGCCAGAAGCAAGACTGCGTGCCGTCAGTGAAGTACGGCAACGCACAACGAAGGGGTGACCGAGAAATGGCTAAACAAAAAGCAGACCTTCGATTGTTCGATATCTAACTATTAGCTTGTCGGAACAAAAACGATTTGCCAAACTACTTCAAGAACGATAAGCCGTCCGTGTTGAACAACGACAACTACTACTGTTTCGAGAGCACAGTGATGACTTGCACGTGATTTGGTCCTTTGCGAGATTTTTGTAGCAGTCAAGAGGAGGACCGATACGGCAAGTCATTCAGCGACCCTTAAGGCACGACTTTCGGTAGACTGGCTTTCAATGGCGAAGAGGGATAACAATAAATCTGCGTTGTATCGGTCTCACTCTCTTCCACAACCCACCATGTGCCAGAAACAAGTCCGAGTCAATCTGCCCGGATGCATCCTCCGTTGACGGTGAGACACAAGTCAAGGATCCACTACAAAAACGATTCATGAGCCTTCTCATTCACATGCCAACTAGCTGACCCATCAAACGTAATTTTTTTCGTTAAATAACTATAAAAGATAAAATTACAAGTTAAGAGCATTTGGGCATTCCAGGCAAATCAACAATGAACGTTCAGGGTTAGGACTGATTCTTCAATAGAAAGCTCCTACCGATTTACTGCAGGTGGAATGCATTCCGCCAACGTCTGTATGAAGTCTGTCCGAAGCCACAGGGTTGGAATCCACAATAAGGCCTAGCTGGCGCGCTCTATCAGTAGCATTGGCCAAAACCTGAGCACTACTCATACTACATGGGGAAGTCGATGTAGCTTGAAGATCCCCCTGCTCCAAACCAGACAAAAGATTTGCCGACAGACGCTGCTGCATATTGACCCGCAGTTTCTCTAGCAGGGCAGGATTGATATTGCGGGAGGAACACGTGTGGCATTTATAAGATTCAGGCTGAAGATGGCTGGAGACCGTTGATGGACAAGACTGGTCCACAAAAGTGCCTTCGGCTGACTGAGAGTCACTGAAGACCGCCTCCATGCAGTCGTAATGCTGCAACAACCTACAAAACCACGAACAGCAAGCCTTGATAAAAGAAAAATGGGGTTAAAACTTGTTATTTCGCTGCTTTCTAAGAACCAGTTGAGCAGCATTGAGGAAAAACGGAACAAACGTGCGCCCTGCAAACGTGAAGACGCGATAAAGGCGGAAAATATTCATCCAATAGCTAACATCCCAAAGTATTTGAATTATTATACAATAATCGTACAAACAGTGCGTGACCTATCTCATGAAATCTGATAACCGAATCTGATGAGAGAATTTCTGGGCGCCTTTAACGTTGAGGATTTTGTTCGCTCATCTACTTCCTTCAATAAAATGTCCTTTTCTTGTGCAGAAATTGTGTTTAAGTAATTATATAAAGTAAAATATCAGTAGATTTTAGCGAAAATGGACGTTGGAATATATTCGGGCAATTTCATATGCTAATACATGTCCTAGACTCCGGTTACTTATTTGAGGGACTTTTTCATTGAGAGGATAGTAATTTACCCCCGAGCGTTTTAATAAACAGATTAAGCTGAACTGGAAAATTTATGTTATGTCCGATGTTAACCATGATAATCAATCTGCTAAGACAAAGGTCACTTAAGAAAACTAGAGGTTTTATCAATTCCTAAATGTCAAATTAGCAGATCTGTGGGATCTGGTCCACAAAAGTGTAGTAATAACGCAGATAGGGATTCCCTCGTTTAAGTGGGCTGAAATTGTTTTGCCGTTTGGAAAATTCTACCTGATGTCACATAGATGACCACCACGTAATGGTCATTTCCAGCCTTAAACATATGAAGCACTACTTTTCGTGTAGTTTAGCTTCTGTGTATATCTTATTCAAAAGTCAGACGAGCAAAACATTTATAGTTCCAGCAAAATATCAGTATTTATATGGGCACTCTGCCGTGCATTCATTATCGAAGAACGGAGTCTAAAAGCGAGCAAAAACAGCGGAAATGGCCTCAATATATAGAAAAAGGCGTGTTCTTACGTTCACGGTAGAAAAATATTAGTATTTCTAAGGGACATGAAAGAAACGGCCAAAAGTGTCAAATTTTTACTTGGCCTCGCCGTGCAAAAATGCAAAGTACACATAGATCCGTCAACAGAGTGCTTCTTAAAGAGGTAACTTATTAAGGAATGTTTTCGTATTTATCGAAGACATATTCGTTGGTGACTTTCGTTGTACACAGCCATTTTTCTCGAAAATGAAGGTTGATATTTGAATAAGTCTTCACATATGACCCAAACGACCATCTTCGTGAAAAACAGCGCCCGAACACTCACTAATTCGGTAAATGCCTTCAAGAATAATCTTATTTTAAAGTTTTCAACAGGCAGATGATTCAGAATCTGTGTTTATGGAAGATCCGGTGAAAACACTAAAAATCATGAAGTATTCAGCAACATTTCGCGACCCATCTGAAACTCAACGTGATCGAAAACGCACGAGAAGTGTACATTAATTTAACGGAAGAAAATTCCGCTCTATAAACACAAAATGGTATGTTTACGATCACGCCTGTCAGTTCTATTTAAATTTATTAGGCACCCACCGACCTCATGGCATGTCACCTTATGAAAACTGTTGTTCCTACGACGTCCCCATCGGCGAACTCAAGCAAAATCCAGCGTCTCTTGTTGAACCCCATCTCATTTACATCAAAGAAATAAAATTAAAGACGAAACATTGGAAAGCTGTTTTGGAATCTACATTCGGAATGTAGGTAGTTGACAAACCATCATAAATGATATCACACTACTTATTAAACGATATTTAGATGTAAACTTCACTAAAACACTGTTATTGGACGTTATTTTATGTCTACATTCATATTTACTACGTTTTTGGTATGAGAATACATCATATACATCTAAAAACGAACTTTCCTTAATTAGAGCCATTTCTGACGTTTTCGAGAAATAGCGTTTTTCAAAATAAACTGGCATTTCGAAGCAACGCAGCACTGCCTTTAACATTTCTTTTATGCCTTTAATTATTTTAAACTTGTACTTAATTAACAAAGAAATAGGACTCATGAAATGGCGTTGGTTTGCGAGTGATTGGCAATCATTCGTAAATTACGACACATTTCATGAGTTAGGTCACCAACTGTATGCAACCACATTCCTACCAAAATTTAGCCCGCACATTCACCGCTAATGATCGTACTTGGTTCAATGACTGCTTGAGCACCGAGTGTAAATCAGAAACACCGGACAAATTAAATTTTTGTTTCCGCAATTAAATATCTTCGGAAGCCGGGCTGTCGTAATTATTTCTTAGGACGCTAAAGGAAGAGCAAGGTTAGTGTTGGTTTCAAATTGCCTGCTTTTAGCCTAGAGTTGGGCGATTAATAACTTTCAAATCGATGTGTCAGGGCCTGTGGTTATTCTGAGGTCAGGCTTGGTACCCTGAACCAAGAAACAGTGAGGATCTGAGTTGCCTGTAGGCGGCAGACGAATGGAAAGCTCTAGTTCTTTAGCTCATTATGATCTATGTATCTCGATCGCTTTCCAGCCTAGAAGACAAGTGTAGTCTGAAATATTCTCTTGCACAAGAGGTAAGCTCAACCTCACCGAAGTCAGATTTCCCTTCGGCCTGATGGCTAGAAAAGGCTTTAGCTCAGGTGGTGGTCAGACCAACATTCGAAGATACGGATGGCCCTTGATAGTAGCACATCGGGACGATGGCGTCTCCTCGCGAAGTCTCCTTGATGGAGCAGTCGTTTCTCCCTTGTCATGCTAACATGGGCCCCTGGTTAAATTCTATCTTATCTACTACTTATCTATTTCTCGTTTTAGTCCCAGTACGCCAATTATAAGATGAATAAGGCCCTGTTATAAGATATTCTAGTTGACTCATGCATCCATATTTGTTCGTCCTCTCCATATTGTGTGCTTGCTACGGTCCTAGATACACCAGCCCTGTATCCAATGAGTTTTTGTACAGAGATGTTCTCTCCGGCCCGTATGTCAGTGGATTGTCCAAAAGTGAATCAACACGCTGGAGCAATAGCATTTGCACCGCCGGAAAAATTAGCCGGGTACGTTGACAACTCTGAACCGGGAATTATGCAAGTGTAAGAAATGTTTGGCATTCAACGAGATAATAATTACTTGCAGGTATTGCATTGTATTCTTCGGCCGGTCTGAACGCTGAAACCACAAGCACAACAAACAGCAGATCCGCGTTGGACCTAAAACGGGAGGCAACGCAAGATGACGTAGACAACGAAATAGGCGTGTTGCCACAGTCTCAATCAAGACAATGACAAAAAGCATGCCTGTCTAAATGAACTCTCACTCTTGCATTTGAGAAATTTTTCAACTGCGGTATTGGGGTAGATGTAATAAGATACTTTGGTTCGAACATGCAGCGCCGGACGATTTTGTATAATAAATAGAGGTTATAAACGATAGTGAAAGCGGAAACCGATGACAGTA